TTCATTTTGGGCAATTTGAAACATTGCCTTATCAACGTCAGAGGCAGCCATAGCTTTAGCAGCCTTTACCTCTTTACTCTTGGCGCTAATCGGCGTTCGGAGGCCGTGTACTCTCAGCATGGTCTCGAAAGAGGAAAAACAGGCATCAGATTTGAGAAAAACAAGCGGCACAAAAAGTCAGTACTATAAAAATATTCCAAGTCTACCTCAGAAAGGAGACCCAGGATGCCGTCTAGGTCAAGGGTGCCGACTCCCTTGACCGCGTCCCTCTCCTCTAGAGGGACGGCCTTAATCATGGACTTGGCCACTTGGACCAAGTCTGGTTCCGAAGGTCCGCCTGCATCAAAAACAAATAGAAACATCAAAGACATGAAGAGAGTGATAAAGAAATAAGCAAGTCTAGCGGAGCAGGCTATACTTCTCAGCGGCCGTGTCAGAACAGGTGGTGGGTTCCCCACACTTTGTGGGGTGGCCGGCTGCTTGTCAGCCGATTGTTTCCTGGTAGATCCAGGCGTACTCCCACCAGTCAGCTTCCAAACCTTCGAGTCCGGTTGGTGGGAGGATGAGGGTTTGGAAGTGCCCGTCTGCAAAAGAGACGAGTGGTCAATATTTATTAAGCAGTCTTTCAAAGACAAGTTTTAAGGATCGAAACTCACCTTGGGCGTCTCCTTGGCGGGAGAATTAGAAGCGGTCCGCTATTGTTGCATTATGGAGGCTCGCAGCATAGCAGTCGCCTTCTTGGAGGCAGAGATTTGGTCCATAGCTTCAGCTACAAATAAGAGCCGCAAGAGTTAGAAAAATCATTCAAACAAATCAAAAAAGAGGTGCATATATTCAAGTGGTCGGCTACCTCTAGAGGATCGACTAGTAAGGCCATAAGCGGCCAGGAAAAACACGTCATAAAGCCATTGAAACTCCAGGACGCAGTTTAGGGGCACTTGCTCTCGCACCCCAGTAATAGAGTTTTCCCTAATCTCTACTTTAAAAAGACCTCGGTCCAGGATCTCTTCCCTGGCCTTGAGGGGAACAAGCGGCATGCTGCGTCCGCCTGCTAAAAGAGGCGGATCCCTGTTCCACCTATTGTAACGTTTGTTCAGCAGGTGGTCGGGGCTGGAAATGATGAGGAAGGTGTTTCTCCAATCCTTCCATTTATTTTCTTTGCCCTTGGTCATGAGGTAGCCCTTATGACTAATTAATTGGTACCAGCCGGTACCGCTTGCCTTGGGGGTTCGGCTGAGGTAGTTCATATGGGCAAACGCCTCGAAATTCGGCTCTGCCCCATGCATTTCACATCCGGCTACATAGCCAAGAATGTTGAACCAGGAGTTCGGGGCTAATTGTCAAAGCCCCACCTCGTATCCATCGAGGATTTGTTGAACGGCAGGGTGCAAAGGAAATCGCAATCCAGCTTTGATGGCCGCCTCGTAACAGCCAAAACAGGCGTCCCCATAGCTGAAACCCTCGGGCCAGACGAGTGTGTCCTCGCCATCCGGCACAAATAATTGATAATCCGGACCCATTGTATGGTCCGAAAAAAAGGTGCCTATTCGCTCTTTCATGGCCTTGATCCGGCCCTTGGGTACATGACAGTAATAAGGAGTGTTCAACTCCCTATGAGAGGCGGATGGTTCCGACCAGCCCTCTCCCTTTTCAGCCGCATGAGAAGCCCTCGCCTCATGCAAGCGAGCATGCCTCTCCTCTGAGATTATGGATAGGCGGCTCGATGAGCTAGAGTCAGACTCGCTACCAGAAGAGTCCGACTCCTCCCCACTTCCCGAGGGGGCCGACCCCTCTTCTTCTTCTCTGAGGGCCATCTGCTGACTGGCTAGGTCAACAGTAAAGTGAGAAGGAACTACCTTAGCTCCCTCCTCAGAGCTCTCGGCTGAAGGGCCGCCTTGGGTCCCTGCTGTATCAGGCGGCTGGTCCGATGTTTCACTAATTGGAACACGGAAAGAGGATCCATCTGAATTTTCTATTCTCTTCGTCTTTTTTGTTCTTGCCATACTGTCCAGCATAGATACGAAGACAGTTGGATTCCGGGACTTGCGCAAAGTTTGAAGTACCGCAGGGGGCGCCCTTAGTCCTAGACTCAGCCGTCCCCGGTGACCGGCTGATCGCTAACCTAGGCCGTGCCGGATGCTTTTGAGGCCTCATTTTCAAAAAGAAAGAAAAAGTGCAAAAGAAAAAAGAATAAAAGAACAGACGGTTACCTGAAACTCAAATTCTGAAAAAGCTTGATCGAAGTAGGCGCCTAGTAAAACAGTCGTCCTGGCAGGTCAGAAGTTGCAAAGTGTCAGAGCTCAAGTTCAGGGGTCCGAGAGTTCTCTTGAAAAGTTCGTAAATGTGAACAAAAGACTTAGTCAACATTCTCTTTATATAGGGCAAAAGAGAATGCGAAGAGTCGCCTTCAAATTCAAAAAATGAGCGGGAAAAATGCTCAACCCTTCATAGGGCGACACCTGTAGCAGGCCGTCGCCTGTTACAGGCCAACACCTGTCACTGGTGACATGTGAACAGTCACATGCCACCTGTGAGGGGCAAATGATTAGGGGATTTTTCCCTAACCAGTCATCATCTGACAAATGGACCAATCAGGCCCTGCCATGTGTCCGCCACATGGGCCATTAGGAGCTTGCCACGCGTCAGACGTTGATCGGTCCACCATAGACCACATGTGTCACGCCACATGGCATCCCCCCATGCCAAATGGGAAAATCGGCCACCTAGGCCCAAAGACTTGTGGAAGCCCAATCGGCCCTAGGTTGACCTAAACCTAAGACAGGCGCGTATCCCAAGACTATAAATACATTTACTAATCCTCATTAAAGGGGATTACGTTCATTAATTACTCTCACCTAGAGAAAACATTCCATCTCTTTTCCGCATTTATTACTCCAAAAGCAAGTACTAACTTGATCGTCGGAGGCAGAGCTCCCAACACCCGGAGTCTCCGTTGTTTTGCAGGTACAAGCGCACGGTTCCAATCTCGGAATTGTAACTCTCCCGCAGGACATCAGAAAACCCCGAAACACCTATTTTTAGTAAATGTTGCAGTTAATAGCGGGCGGAGGGAGTAGAAGATATACATATTGACAACTATGAACTTATAAAAAAGAAAAAAAAAATTAAAAAAAAATCCTTAACATAATTAGTGACATATGGAGTATGTTTTATTTTTATTTTTTTAGGAAAAACATATTATGTACGTACTAGGTTTGTTACAACAAGATTATAATATATTTTTTCTAATTTTTTTTTTATTATTATTATTATGTAATTGAAGCTACAAGCTTAAACAATGAGATGCAAACATCAAATCAACAAATGATAATTTTTATATTTTCTTGAATAATTTATGATTAGAATTTTAATCAATTAATACTCCATAATTACTTATGGATACTTCAATAATACTTGCCAAGAACGACACATGCCAAGAACGACACATATTGATTAATCTTAGTGTGATTTGTTCCATTCAATTAATAGGAATATAACATACGAAAATAAAAAATTGTAATAATATAGTGCTAATTTAAAAAAAGTACTTAGTTGAAAATTACCTTACCCGTACATGACACGGGACATAACTTAATTAAAAATAATTATAAACCGGGCTCAAGGGAAGAGAACAAAAATAGTTGTACACAAAACTAGGGGTGTACAAAAACTGGACCGGACCTGAAACCGGACCTGAACCGACCTGATCCGGACCGGACCTGACCCGGACCTGTTGATTCAGGTCCGGTCCCGGTCCTTAAAAATCAAGGTTCCCGGTTCCGGTCCGGACCCGGTCTAAACCCGGGGTTTTCAGGTCCGGACCTGAAACCCGGAAAAATTGTATTTTTTAAAAAAAAAAAAAAAAAAAAAAAATTCAAAAATCAAAATTACGCTGCAAGTTGCAACCCTAACAAACAGCTATCTGACTATCTCCATTCTCCATTTCTCCAAGACTCCATTTCTCCAAGACTCCAATCTCCAATCTCCGCCGACACCTCCTGCCTTCCTCACTCTCTCAGGCGAAGCCCCTTGCCCTCCCCCTCGAAACCCCTAACATTCACTCCTCCCTTGAAAACCCCTAACATTCACGCAATCACGCCGACACCATTTCTCCAAGACTCCATTTCTCCAAGACTCCAATCTCCAATCTCCGCCGACACCTCCTGCCTTCCTCACTCTCTCAGGCGAAGCCCCTTGCCCTCCCCCTCGAAACCCCTAACATTCACTCCTCCCTTGAAAACCCCTAACATTCACGCAATCACGCCGATAAATTATTTTTGGGGTTTTTGGTGGTGAGATTCTAGAGCTTATCTTGAGATCTTGCTGGGCAACAAAAAAAGGAGAACTTTTTGAGCAGCAGAATAGCGAAGAACACCGAAGGAGGCTTGGTTGGGTTGTTCTCTGGGCTAGCGAAGCTGCTGCAAAGTAGCAGAGCAGCGGCGGTAAAGCAGTGCAGCAGCGGTGAAGCGAAGCAGCGGACGGAGAAGTCGAGGTGACTTAGCTGTGTTCTGTAATCCTTCATTTTCTACGGGAATTCAGAGGCTCTGCTTTGATTTTTCTGGGCTGGCAGAACAACGGATCTGTGAAGAAAACCACCTAAGTGAAACAGCAGCAGCGGTGAAGCCGTTTAGTTGGAGTGTCGTTCGTGGTTGCTCTTTCATTGATTTGGTATTCTGAATTTAATTGATTATTTACAACTTTTGCATGTAGAATTTCAATTAATGAGTACTTTGCTAAATTATCTAATTATGTTTGGGTATTTTGTATTCGAAATAATGAATTAAGGTTTTTTATTAAAAAAAAAAAAACGAAAAAATCACAAAACAGGTCCATTCAGGTCCAAACCTGGACCGGACCTGATTTTTCAGGTCTAGCCCGGAACCGGACCTGTTAATTCAGGTCCGGTCCCCGGTCCTCATAATTACCCAATTCAGGTCCCCGGTCCAAACAGGTCCGGTCCAGGTCCGGTCCGGTTTTGGACCGGTGTACACCCCTACACAAAACAGCCATGATTCTTAAACTTGAGTTTTTAGAGGGAAAATCTTTCAGTTAATGCTCCCAACTCAACAACTAAATTCTTCATGCTTTCTACCAGATTCAATGGAGTTTTCAAGAAATCTTCTTCATCCATTTCCTCTATTCTCTCTTCTCATTTCTTCACTTTCAGACCAATCTCTCTCCAAACTCATCCTAATTATCCTCCACCATCTTCACCATCACCCCAATCTCTTGTCAAAAAAGTCTGTTTACAAGTCATTCAGTCATACCACCAACCAACCCACCTTAGATTTTCACCTCCAAAGCTGAATCTTGACATTGATGCTGCGTCTTTGTCAAATGATCAGGTCATTACCATTGTTGCTTCGCTCGCCGACGACGCGGGTTCGATTGTTGCATTAGGATTCTTGGATTGGGCAATTGGGTATTCTAGATTTCGTTATTTTATGCGCCTTTATATTGTTGCTGCATCTTGTTTGATTAGTAATGAGAATTTTGAAAAAGCCCATGAATTAATGGTTCATATGGTGAGGAATTTTGCTGAGATTGGGAGGTTTAATGAGGCTGTTAGTATGGTTATTGAGATGCATAATCAGGGTTTGGTTCCGAATACTCATACTTTGAATTGTATTCTAAAGATTGCTTGTGAAATTTGTTCGGTTGAATATGCAGAGTACGTGTTCGATGAAATGTGTAAGAGAGGTGTGCACGCGGATTGTGTTAGCTATGTTATCATGGTTGTAGGTTATTGTAGGATAAGGAGGATTTCCGAGGTGGATAAGTGGTTGGGTAGAATGATCGAACGGAAGTTTGTTGTTGATAACGCGACGTGTACCTTGGTGATCAGTATGTTTTGCTCTGTGGGTAATGTAAACAGGGCATTTTGGTTCTTTAATAGAATGATGGAGATGGGATTTACCCCGAATCTAATTAATTACACGTGTTTGGTTGATGGGTTATGTAAGAAGGGTAGTATTAAGCAAGCGTTTGAATTGTTGGAGGAAATGGTTAGGAGAGGATGGAAACCGAATGTCTATACACATACTACATTGATTGATGGACTTTGTAAGAAGGGATGGACAGAAAAGGCATTTAGGCTGTTCCTTAAGCTTGTTCGGAGTGATAACTATAAGCCGAATGAGTGCACTTATACAGCCATGATCAATGGGTACTGCAAGGAGGGTAAATTGAATCGGGCTGAGATGTTACTTGGCCGAATGAGAGAACAAGGATTGGTACCCAATGTTGACACCTATACAACCCTCATTGATGGGTACTGTAAAGCAGGAAATTTTGAAAGAGCATATAGTTACATGGATATTATGAGGAAAGAAGAGTTGGCTCCTAATATTTATACCTATAATGCCATTATGAGTGGCCTCTGCAAGAAGGGGAGGTTTGAGGAAGCATGGGAACTGCTCGAGGAGGGTACTGAATTAGGGCTGCGAGCTGATAGAGTCACTTACACGATTCTCATGTCTGCTTCAGCGAAGCGCAATGATGCTAAAGAAGCCTCAGCATGGCTTTGTAAGATGACTAAAGCGGGCTTTAAGCCTGATATATACACATGTAATATCCTAATTGCCTTGTTCTGTAGGCAGAAATTAATGGCGGATAGTGAGTGGTGGTTTGGAGAGGCTATCAAGCTTGGCCTTGTTCCAACTAAGGAAACCTACACTTCCATGATATGTGGATATTGCGGAGTGGGTAATATCAACTCAGCCATCAAGTTTTTCCATCAAATGAATGACCATCATTGTTTTCCAGATAGTTTTACTTATGGTGCTTTAATAAGTGGACTATGCAAAGACGAGAAACTTGAAGAAGCTCACAAGCTATATGCAACCATGATTGACAAAGGACTGTCACCTTGTGAAGTTACTCGGCTTACTCTATGTTATGAGTATTGCAAAAACAATGATATAAACCATGCTTTTAGTGTCTTGGAACGGCTGGAGAAAAGGCTCTGGATCCGGACAGTGAATACATTGGTAAGGAAGCTTTGTAGTGATGGGAGAGTAGAGATGGCGGCATTGTTCCTTGAAAAGCTGTTGGATAAGCAGCAAAATGTTGATCGTGTTAGTGTAGCAGCATTTATGACTGCTTGTTATGAAAATGACAAGTACGAACTTGTTTCAGCTTTCTCTGAGAGGCTTTTACTGAAAGATTCTCCGAAAGATCAAAAAGAAATTAATGAAATTTGAAATTTCCATTGTCGGGACTCTGATGAAAGTTTAGTTCTCTACATCAGATTAATGCTGAAGACTAAGGTCTAGTTGTTTGGCTATTCAATTTCAAACTACCAGCATTTTATTAAACAGCCAAAACAGTGTATGATAATCAAATATGAAGAGATTAGGTGCATTGGTGCAGAATTTAGCTTATACTTAACAATTCATGATTAAAATCCAAAGGGATGATCCACTCCATATCATCGGCTTATAGACCAGTGATAGAATGACTAAGCCCCCAACAGACATCATGTGCACAATTTTAGGTCCTGTCACAATATCAGCATCACCGCATGAATCTTTTGATGATCAAAATAACAGTTGCAGGTTGAGTTGCTGGGAGGAGTGGTTTGCGGACAGCTGAATGTTTAGCGCTGGAATGTCGGACACATTTGGTGACAATTTACTGTTTGGATGTTGGTAGATAGGTTTCATTCTTTGATGTTCTGTTATTGTCATGGCTGCATAATGAGCTTATGCTTTGGCTCTTAAGCCATTACACAATAGAATAGTTTTGGATGGTCTAGCAACACCATACTCTCAAAATGGAAACAAAAGACCATGATACATTTACGCTTGTACACTTACAGCCTTTATTTGTTAGTACATATTTTAACAAACAAAATGGAAACAAAATACACGATACATTAACATAGATATTGGTACACATCTTTTCTAGTAAAACTACGACATTTATATATCTATTTATTTTGACATTGCTCTTATTTGACAATTGGCTATTGGTTGTTTGCTGCCGGATGTTTAACTTAGCTAGTTTGACTAGCTATTAACATTGGTTATATTGGTTGTACATAAATGTGTTTGGTAAAAGTAGTTGTTAGCCGTTAGTTGTAACTATGCAAAATGACCTTGAAGAACATTAATGTGTACTTATTCATCTATTTCATATTATGATTAATTCACATGCATACATTTTTTTTTTTGAAAGGATGCGTACTTATTTGTTAATTATTTATCTATTAGTTTATATCAAATTTAAATTATAGGTAATTATTATAAACCATTTATGGTTGTTAATTTATTATTCTATAATGATAATAGGTAGTATTAAGTAATTATTATACCCCTTCAAAAAAAAAAGTAATTATTATATAATTATTAATAAATAATTAACATTTATTAATGAATATTAATTTTTATTTAATTAGTATCAAATTAAGGAGTAGTCCATTGCTATTTTCTTTTAATAACTAATAATTTCTTATTACTAGTTGCTAATTACTTATTTTATTATTACTCGGTACTAATAACTGCTACATTTGTCCTTATTTTTTTGCCCAAAAACAAATAATTGAGTCAAACTTTAAAAATTTGACTGTAAATTCTTATGAATCTATAAAAGATAATAAATCAAGTGGGTTATTGAATTAGTCTCATTGTATATTTTATTAATATCAAGTTTTTTTGTAATTGTATATTGTACGTTTTAAGATGCATCTTGGAGACCGTGAAAAGTTATTAATTACTAATTATTAAGTATCAATTATTATTTATCAAGTATTAATTCTTTTTTTTACAGGAATTAATATTAATAAACTATTAATTATTAATTACTAATTATTAATTTCTAGTTAGTAATCATTAATTACCACTAATTATAAATTATTAGTGAAAAATAAGGATACGAAAGTAATTTTGAAGATGAAAAGCCAAAAGCCAATTCTAAAAACCTAGTCTTATAGCTTTTGGCTCTTGGAAAAAAATATAGCTTTTAAGCGCGCACGCGCTCACACACACATACAAAAAAAAAAAAAAAAAAAAAAAAAAAAAAAAAAAAAAAGAAGCAGCCATGAAAAAAAGAATTAAACAAGCCCAATTGTGATTATGCTTCTTAATCATCACATATCAAACATGTCATTTGTGTGTATGGAATATTCCCAGTGCACTTAGATTTTGTTTTGATAAAAAAAAACAAATAAATAAATAAATAAATAAAATATACCAAGAAGATGATTTTCTATTATCTATTGTTTGTAAATGGTGAAAATCAATAGTTTTTAAAAAATGAAAAATACAAGAAGAAAAGATATGTTAAGAAATATGAGAAATTTTAACCGGAGAAGTGGTGAATATATTGATGAAGTGTAAAATTTAGATTTACACGACTTCATATAAATAGCCATAAACAAGGCTACGGTACAATAATTTCTCATATGTAGACATGTGAGTTCACAAGCTTTTGTAATTATTTGAGCATATAATTCAAATCAACTTATTGGCCATTTACATTGGACTTATTTTCTCAACTACACATTCTTTTTAAAAGGAAGAATTGTCACATAATCCTCCACAATCCTAACATTCTACTTTTTTTTTTCTCCCTCCATTTTCATTCATTTTCCTTTTCCTTTTCCTCCATAAATTTTTAGTAGGTGAAACTAAAGCTGGCAAAAGTTAACACGATACGAACCGGACACGAAAAAAGCGGGTTAGTGTTGAGAGTTTTTGACCTGTTTAGTTAAACGGGTCAACATGACACGACACGATTAGTTAAATGGGTCGGGTTAGTGTTGAAAATTGTAACACGAAAGTAACACGACCCAACCCGTTTAATAGGTGGGTCGTGCTCAAGTCAACCCGTTTACCCGCTAACCTGCTTAAGATCTATAAAAAGATTAAAAACCTTATATTCTACTATGGCCCAAAAATTTAAGAATGACCCAAAAAATAAAAATAAAAAACCCTAATTTAACCTAATGTCTCACTAATCTCAGCCGTCATATATAAGGATATGAGCTCCTCTGATTTACCTTTTCTCTCATTTACTCTTACACTCTCACACACAAGAGCAGTGGTTGGTAAGCTTTCTTCTTACCTCACTTCTCTCGTGATTCCCAACTTCCCATCTAACTGTACTCTAATATCTTTAATTACTTTTCTTCCTTTCAATTATTTCATTATTATTTTCGACTGTTCTAATTATTTTTTTTTAAGATTTCTGCTATTTTTTTTAACATCAATTATCAAATGTCATGTAATTTTTGAATAATTATAACTTAGATGGTCTTTGGGCAAACGTAGGTGGTTAAAACAGTGTGAACTTCATTGACTATGCTATTTTGTGGTCTGTTTATTTAAGTTGAAAATATATGGACCAAGTTCATGGCTAAAATGGTTAATTACTAAACGGGTCAAGTTTTTTTTTCACAAACACGACCCGTTTAAGTAAACGGGTTACACGTGTTAAATTCGTGTTACCCATTTATTAAACAGGTTGTGTTCATGTTTAGCCTTCTTGACCCGTTTATTAAACAGGTAATGTCAGCGTTAGGGGGTTTCCAACCTGTTTATATATGACCCGAACACGAACACCGCATGACCTGTTTACCAGGTCTAGGTGAAATTACTGTTACAATTGTGTATTCCCTTGAAAGACTTTTTCGAAAATAATGAGTGCTTTCCAAAAATAATGTTGCAAAAAGTTCCAATTCTCAATTACAGCCACTTTTTTTTTATAAATTCCCACTTTATTGTCTACGTAAGCAAGTGGAGAAAAAAACCGTTTTTTTTTTATTTAATCGGTTTAGTACAAAACCGCTACTTGAAAAGCGGTCTTTAAATTGTAAACCGCTGCCGCTGCTTCAAGTAGCGGTTTTTAAAGTGGATTGCTAAACATCGCCCTCAAATCTCCACATAAAGCCCACAAAATTAACTTGATTTGACAATATTGCCCTTAACATAAAAAAAATAAAAAAAAAACACACTCACACTCTCATCACCAAACACTCATCTTCTTTCTACATCTCTCTAAAAAAAATTCAAACTACGACAATGTCGAGGCGGCAAGGCAAGAAATTGGCGGCGGCGGAGGGAAGGAGGTCTCAAGGAGGCAAGGTACAATTTAAAAAAAAATAAAAAACAGTCGTGATTGGCGGGGCGCCTGGGCAGGTGGTCCAGCCAAGGGTGGTGGCGCCAGTTGCAGATGCCGGAATCAGGGACCTGGCGTCTAGGCTAGACGCCGTAGCCACGGATGTGGCGTTTTTCCAAGGCGCAGCAGCCATGGCTTCGGCGTCCAGCCCAGACGCCAGGCCACTGGTTCCGGCGCCTGCAGCTGACGCCACCACCACTGGCTGGGCGTCCAGCCCAGGCGCCCCCCCCCCTTTTTTTTATATTTTTCTTTTTTTATGTTTATTATTTTTTTTTTAATTTTCTTTGTTTTGAAAATAAGAATATTTTATTTTTATAATTTTTTTCAATTTTGTTGTATTTTTTTTATGTTTATATTTCCTTTACAATTATTTGTTTATTTTATTTGTACATTTTTATTTTTATTCTTTATTACAATTTGTTAGTACATTTTTTTGCTTATTTGATATTATTTTTTGTTATTTAATTTATTTTAATTTATATTTATGTTTATATATATTTTGTATGTGTTGGTTTTTTTTCCTTTCTTTGTGTATTTTTTATTCTATTACTTTTTAATGTGTTCTGTTAATTTCTTTATTATGTTAATTTGTTAGTATGTTTTTAGTTTATTTGACTTGAGTTTTGGTAGCTATTTTTCTTATAATTTTTTTTTATGTTTATATATTTTTAAATTTTTTGAAGGTGTCGCAATTTCACCATGGTGCGGGGAAGAATATAGATGACCATGATATGCCACCGGCCACTGCCATGGATGCGGTTTGTGTCATTAAACATTTATTGTTGTGTTTTTGTAATTGCTATATATCGTTCCGGGCATATTCACAGACGAAGAAGACTGGATGACGATGTACGACCATGACCACGACCACGACCACGAATGTACTCAAACGCACTCTTGTTCCGCCGTTGGCGACCTCTAAGTCGCTCGACCCCTTCGGGGTCCTCGTGATCTAAGCCATGGAGGTGGTCGACACTGTCTATGAGGCGTTATCCTGATTGTATATCATGATCATGTATTCTTATACTGTTATACATTCGTAGTTATCTTTACCGAATTTGGGTTGAAGTCGTGTTAAATTTCTTCCGCTGCTTGTTAATTTCTTCAATTTATGGTAATATCGTTCTTTTTTCTAATCCATTTCCTTGCTTTTATGCTTGAATATCATTCAGATATACTTGGTTTTATTGATTTATTGTGAAAATACATTGAATTTTTATTTATTGTGTAGTAGTAGAAAGCCATTGTATTTAAATCTAGGGTTTAACAGTATGGCGTGTTGCGTGCATGGGGTTTATTGAGCGTTTGAGTTGATTTACGTTTCAATTATTTTGGGTTTTAGTCTAATTGACTGACAATCTCAAATGTTGCAGAATTTCATTTAATTTGGTTTTGTTTTATTACTCAGATCCTCCTTTTTCGTTTTCTCGGCTGGGTTTTGCGCTATGAACTTAAGAATTGGTCTGGATAGATTTGGTTTCAATTTTATGGAATTTCTTAAATATGAAATGACAATACATCATACCATGTCGCCGTCTAGAGTCCTTGAGAGATTTCTGAGTTGCTACTACTAAACAAAAATCAGATCTAATTGCAACTTGTTTTGCCCAATCAATCGCTTGTTGAGCATCTTCGAAGGGACCATCATGTACAAAAATCCTACTATGCCATATTATTTTTAAATACATATAATTATATAAAGATTAAATTAATACATTTAACACAAAATTAACATAAGTAATTTCTAAAAATTTTAATTGTAAATTTCATTTCTATATATAATTTACACATACAAAATTAAACATAATTTTATTAACACATATTTAAAACATAATTTCAGATTAAAACAATAATTTTTTTGAACTTATTAACACATATTTAATTTCAAATTTATCAAAGTTAAAAAACCACAAAAAAAACAAAAACTTTAAATAAAATTAAAAAAAATTACAAAAAGTTTAAATAAAACTAAAAAAAAAAGGTTTAAATAAAATTACAAAAAAAAAAAAAAAAATTACAAAAAGTTTAAATAAAATTAAAAAAAATTACAAAAAGTAGGAGTGGTGTCTGGCCAGGACGCCGCCACCGTGGCGGTGGCGTCTGGCTAGGACGCCACAGCCATGGTGGCGGCGTCATGGCCAGGCGCCACATCCATGGTGGGGCGTCCTGGCCAGGCGCCACTGCCATGGTTGCGGCGTCCCGACCAGACGCCACCGCCACGGTAGTGGCGTTCCGGCCAGACGCCACCCCTACTTTTCATAATTTTTTCCCTGGATTATCTCGCTTTCCGGCGACGATGACGGCTCTCCAGTGTCCCTCGGCGATCCACTCCTGCTCCACATTGTTCGTGAGAGTGAATTACGGTTTCGGTAAAAATTAGAAAAAGGGCAAAAGAGTCAAAGTAAAAATAATTGTGGGCTTTATGTAAAGATTTGTGGGCGATGTTTAACAAATCCCGTTTTAAAAGGGTAAACTGCTACAGTGGTTCAACCCTTCAAGAAGAAGAAGAAAAAAAAAATACTATACAGAACTAGGTACAATCGAACTCTTCAATCATGAACTGTTGAGCCCTTCACAAGATTGATAATATAATCTTAATTTCATCAAATCTAGATTACATAGTTTTACAAAAAATCAGCATTCGGGCATGTAGAGCAGTGTGAGAAGAGGGAAAACATCATAAAACGACTATTGTTCTTGAAGGTTTTCGCAGATTGTTGAGCTTTTTCTTGGACTGTAAAAGCGGTGCACGGTGACGGCGGAGGCAGCAGTGAAGGCGGAGGCAAACTCAATAGCGATTAAAAAAATAGAGATTAAGAGAGAAATTTTGCAAGATAATGCCCAAAATTAACTAAATAAAAAAGGTGCTGATATTGCCTTGGCAAAAAAACGTCATTTTAAAGTTTAAATCATCTATTCATTATCTGTAATCTATGAGAATCGATCTATAAATGTCAAACTCATTAATTTTGTAATCTTTTTATACCTTTTGTTCCAAATATTGTTTTGTAATCTTTTGTTACTATAATTAAGTAGCTAAATATTTCAATTTAAATATTTCCCATTCTAAAGACAATAAACATAACTAGGCAAACCAGCTAGTCATCATTCTCTGGAGAAATATATCGTATGTCCAAGAAGTTCTATATCATACGATTAATATCCATAACAAGTACGGAGTAGTAGTTTCTCAATGTTAGAGTAACTTTTTTTAAAAGCATAATTTGTATATTATTAAAAAGGTTAAAACTTATACGGAGTACTATACAAAAAGAGTAAATAACCACTTACATGATACTCCTAAGAAACTAAAAACAATCAATCTAAAAACACATGAGGTGCATTATGATCAGTTGAATTTGGTGCCCTATTATCACCATGGACTAGATAAAAATTATATGAATCTGGTACAAGGAATAGTAAACTGTAAGAGTATTGACACTCTGTAATGGTGAATAATTAATGGAGGATTTTGACGAAAATAATTAGTTGGTGGAGTTTGAAAAATTTTAAACGGAATATTTAGCTACTAAAAGTTATAGGTAACAAAAGATTATTGGCAATAAAAGATTACTATAAGTTTACAAAATATTTCATTGAATTAATAAGTTTGACATTTATAGATTCTTATTCTTATAGATAACAGGCAATTGTAGATAATTTAGGCTTGGAAGTCACTTTTTTACCTTGGCAATATCAGCAGTTCAGCAACCATAAAAAACAAATCTCAAACCTAATTTATCCATGCCCAATCTAAATCCACCTAAAAGTTTGAGGATGAAGGGAAATTGAGAATGGATTTGGAAGAGTGAGTGAGAGAAGGTTGAGTGAAATCTGAATTTTTGGTGAGTTTAATTTGAGCGACATTAACAAGAGAAAAAATCTTGGAGTTTTTTTTTTTTTTTTTTTATTATTATGTAAGGTGGGAACCGCTACTAGCGGTTTCCTAATAACCGCTACTTTGTGTAAAAAAAAAAAAACACGGAAAAATAAATTACCTAACTGAACCATTGACGTGGGCAGTAGATTGGAAATATTAAAAAAAAATAGCTGTATTTTTGTAATTGGAAATCTTTGTAACAATATCTAAGGAAAGAGCTCAGAACTCCGTTGTTTCATTTTAACTTGACACATTTGCCAATATACAACTTTAACCTTAAACAACTTTAATTGTTAAGATTATAAAAATTACATAGAAATTATACATAATATATTAAGACAAATCCAATAAGACCCAACACAACTACGTTTTTTTATTTATATATTATTCACTTATTGTCAAAATGAAGTACGAAAAAATTGCATCTAAAGTCAAAATGGAGCAACTAAATAAAATGAATTATGTTGATGTTGATCTGTTTTCAAATTTTATAATCACAAATCGGAATGACTTACGTTGAACAATTGCATAGTCAAGACCGAATTAATTTATTGTGTGATATTCCAATTGAAAAAAAATAAATAAATAAAAATGATGCAACGCCAACAAAGATAGAAAAAAAGAGTTCATTAACCAAAATCTACTTTGTATATTCATTTCATGAATATGTTGGAAAAAAAGTACAAGGTTCAAAGTTACATTTTGCAACAACAAAAAATGACTACTCCCTAAATGTGGTCATGAAGGGAGACTACAAGCTCTTTCAACTCGTCAAGAAGATTCATTCTCAAGCATTACAAAAGCTTGGATAAGACTTTGTGCAGCATGAGTTTGTTCAGGAGTTCCAGAAATGATGATGACGGTTTCAGGAGCACCTGGTTTGGGATCTGTGATTGTAATCTTTGCATCAGAAATCTGCACAGGAAGCAAAAATAAGGTGTACTCAGTCCAAAATGTGGTAATAAGGGTCACAATGAAGCAATAAAATCATATACGAGCATTTCTAAGCAAAATTCTCACTTAACCAAAAGCAGCTTTCAAGAAGTACCAGCAAGCAATAAAAAGATATAATTGTCAAGCAGCATCAATAAACTCTTGAAATAGGAACACAATAGTAATCCCTAAGAATCCTCTCGCACTGAAGAAATAAATAATCTCTTTGCCCGACTCCCCATGGTATATACCCCTTCGTTTCACTTTTAACCACCACCACAACTGTCACTATTCCCCCCTCCGACTGATCACCTAATTACCAACAATGCTTGTTGTTCCACTGCTTTCACTCCACCATTGCCAGTGCTGCAATGGCTTTCTCTTTTTATTCTTTTTCTCTCATTCTGTACCAGAGCTGCAGAGTTTTCTTATCCTTTGCATCCCATTCACTCCAAAACTTTTATATAACCAATTTCGTCATTCCCCAAGGCTACCTTCAATAATGATAAATTTTACATAACAGCAGCACCTCTAGAAAATACTGTCGTGCAAAGTTTATAAATAAAATTTAGATAAACAAGTCCACTGAACTTCCCTTGAAGCCATCAGCAACCAAATGGTACTTCGTAATTCATGTGATTAGCATACAAAGAATCCTCGTTACTTGGGACTTATTTTGCTAACCCAGAAAGTCAAAATAGAATTTTAGTCATATCAATCTTTATGTATTTTGTATAACCTGGAGAAAATGATAGTGAGCAGAGAAAAATAACCATAACACTTTACTGAATAGGTATTATGACAGCTGAGAATGCTATATCATGACATGCTCAGAAAGATGGATATGTCAGCAGATATAGAATAATCAAGCAACTCTGATGTATATATAAGCTGCAGAATTCCTCTCAACCAGCAGATATTGAAAAATGGGAATGTTGATGTAGTCAAAAGGCACAACAAATTATAGAAAGAAAGCTGTTGCTCTCAGTCTCAGCATGCCAACAGCTTACTTTTTTTATAAGAAAAAATTGTATATTAATAAGCTGAAATTAAGTGCATGAAAAAAGAAAAAGAAAAAAGAAAAAAAAAAAAGACAAGCTGTTCTCTTAACAGAAACCAAAGTAAGACATTAACCCGGTTTCTTTGAACCATCCTAATCCCAGCTGCCTTAGCCCATAATGAAGCTATATTAGTGACTTTGTACCATAACAACAGAGACAACAGAGACTGCTAAAAAGACCCTTAAATTTTGCACCAGCCAAACACACACACACACACACCACATGCTTGCTGTAAAGCATTTTGTCACAACAGCTTACAGCATGGACAGATAAAAATAAATAGAGTTCACAAATAGAATTAAAGTGCTATGGGTAATTAATCTTCTGTCCAGATGGTGTAAGATATAATTTATTCTGAACTTGTAGAAGTATATAGAATTTTTGTTGTTTGTAGTGCTACACTTTGTGGAAGGCACTTTTCTACTAAAGTCTCACTATAAACTTCAATTGCCCCTACTCAGAGTGTTTCATTAAATTTAGCAATCCTTCACTCATTCAAAAGTATTACACAAATAAAACAGCATACATCCCTCTAAAAACAGAGGGATTTTTAAAATATGGTCAAAGGATTATGGCCCTGTTTGGTGGTAGCGTTTAAGGTAGCGATTAGCATTTTGACCGGCCAAAACACTACTAGAAAAAAAAAATAAGAGTGTTTGGCAAGGTAGCGGTGTAAGTAGCGATTAGCGGTAGAGGTAGCTTTTAGGTAGTTTTTCTCAAACGTTAAAAATAGTAGCGTTTAAGAGTAGCGGGTAGCGTTTGCTAATTTTTGATAACTTTTTTTTTAACAATTTATATTATTATTAATATATTTTAGTAATGCAACCACCACTTTTGCCAAACACCCATACTATCAACCGTTACTTTCACAGCTAACCTCACTATAATTAACAGCTACCTGCTACCGCTAGTTTTGCCAAACGGAACCTATTACGTTTGCTTCACCAACCAATTGAGTTCTCACATATACGGTCTTGTTCTTTACACATTAAAAAATGAATCCAAACAATGCTTATTTTATGTCTTTACACCCCCCCTCCCCGGTGGTCCCATAATTTCACGGGAATTAAGAAATGAGGGATAATGTACATGAAAAAGGGAGAAAAGTACGACACATGTGAGTTGGACACAAATAATAAATACATTTAAAAATAAAAAAAATAAAAAAAAAAGAGAGAGAGAGAGAGAAAAGTACATAAAAAGTAGGTGAGGGCACATAAATAAGAAATGTGAGGGTATTTTCGATAGTGCAATGGATAAAGACAAAAATAATAAAGGTATTTTAGATATTTCATAGTGTCTAAAAAAGGAGAACAAAAAAAAAAAAAAAACCGGACAACATTTTGGGACACCCAAAAAGAAAAGCAAGAACTATATTATGGGACAGGGATGGAGAGAGTACCACTTTACCTAGTTCATTCTCTTGTATACCACTTTCCTTAATTTATCAGCATATTAAGAGCAACTTATGTATTATACTTCCTCCATTTTTATTTACTTGGAAGTTGGAACACAACATCTTGGCACACATTTTAAGCAACATATTAGAATAGGTAAACGGAAAAATTAATAGAAATAATTTTACAACCAATAAGAAGAAAGTGTTAATTTGTTACGATTTGAATTTTATAGCTTTATTTGTCCGTTTACCTTTTTTTAATTACTTCCCCATATAGCGTACCAAGAAGGTACGTTGCAAGGAAAAAAAAAAAAAATACTAATTATTATGCATACAGCTACAACTATTTGAATTAGATACTAAAGTACAACTCAAATGTCAACACAACTGATGACTGATAACAAGTTACATTGCTCTCGGCCAACAACGGAATATGCAGGATGATGATATGTCAAAAATATACCTGTCGAATTTGTCTCAAGCATCCACCATCCTCTCCATATATTATAGGTACAAGAGAACTGGGAACAACTACATCCACAGTCGTATTTGTGATTACAGGTTGTGGGCTTCCCCTTTACATAGCAAGAGATAGACAATGCAAATCCATAAGCAAATTATTTCAAGACTTGATGCAAAAAACAGCAATTGACAATTTGTATAAGAACATACCCTCCAAATCCAGACATCCGTCTTTGAGGGGGACCACCATGATCCAACAAGCCCATAGGACCACCATGATCCAAATTCTACAAGCAAATGGGAGAGACCAGTCAATAATCAAATTCCAGAATGGCAATAAGATAAGCCACAATGACAGATATAATTCATAGTGCTCATTTGGTTGACATGGAAAATTGAAGTCCCATAGGAAGTTGAGTGGGGGGGGGGGTAATTTAATTCCCATGTTTTGTGGGAAGAACAAACTCCCACGAATTTCCCCTTCATTTTTATTTTTGTGTCAGTCAAACAACTGCAATGATACTCACAAATTCACTTCCTTCATTTTATGTTGCCAACCAAACAAGCACATAGTTACTCTAACGTATCTATCAAATAATAAATTTAACAAATACAAGAAGGGAAGGGGGAAGAAGTACCTGGGGATGCCAGGATCTTTCAGAGATATTAGGACCTCCATGTCGATGAATATCGTGCATAAATGGTGGATGTTCATCATGAGGATGAAATCCACCATGCAAAGGAGGCAAACCAATATAATCAGTGTTTCTAAATGAAGGGCCGTGTTTTGGAAACATTCCTGGAGGAGAGACTTCTCGTCGTCCCATAAATGAAGGAAAAGGGGGTGCTCGATCTGAAAAGGCAAGATTTGAAGGATGGTTGATGGAAGGAAATGCATCACGGAAGAAATGATGTTGAAGTCTTGTGGTTATCTGCAAAAGTGCTTCTTGAACTACTTCCAATTCTCCATTAATCTGGTCAAACAAAAGCCACAGAGGGGAATGTATAAACACTAAAATTATGCATGCTTTATAGGATTTTTAAAAAATACTAAGAATATAAAATCTACTGCAAAGAGTGCATACCCTTGTAACATAAAGTTATATCATTTACAGAACATGTACATGACAAATTAATATAGACAATTATGGCCACTGAAAAAGACAAAATTTAACAAAAAAAGTTTCAGAATAACAGTCCAAAAAAGTGTCAATTTTGCATATCTAAAGCAAAGAGTTATGCTTATATAAACACAAATTATTGAATTAAAATGAATACCTGAACAACTTCTTCATTCTCAGATGCACTCTTAGGGATCTGATCTTTCCCCAAGATACGAATATAAGCCCCAGTAACCTTACGCATCTCACCAATGATTGAGCCACCTTTACCTAGAAGGCAGCCAATTTGATTGGAGGGAACAAGAAGCTTTGCCATTACACCCTTCTCCTTGCTATCAGGTATAGCTTTGGCAACACGATTTAGCACACGAAGAACTGCATCCTGAACAGCAGATATCCTATCGTCTGGATGCTGCAGAAATTAGGCAACAGATATTAGTCGGCTCATACAAGATGTATATGATTCAAAGAAATAACAGTGATGTTGTCATAATAAGTGCGAATTAGGTGATGATATGCAAAAACAATACCGCTGGGCCAGATACAAGTATCATGCGTTCCTCTGCATCCGAAGCACCTTCAAGAACTTTAATCTCACACCCTGTTTCATGCTGGATAGTCTTAATTACAGCTCCGCCCTTTCCAATCACACCTCCTACCCTCTCGCCAGGGCACAGTAATCGAAAGATTACAATCTCAGGAGCATCCATTCTACCAGGCATAAAATTTTCATGGAATTTGGGAAACAATGGGGGGGCACCTGAATGAAAATCAGCACTATCACGAAATCCACCACCCAATGCCCCATGAGAAGGCAGCGACCGATGGGAATAGGATTCAGGCCTTGGAACATGATTACTGTGTGGTTGAGACGTGGGTTTAAAGGAATTAGAAGGAGAAGAATCATTATCATGAGATGCATTTTCCAGAATCTGATCTGAAGCAGTTCTGAGTGCTTTCTTTACAGCATCAGCCAGTCCTGTGATCTGCGAATAGAATGTGACCAAATAAGGCAATTTAATTCAATGTGCAATTATAATGAGAGAAAAAGAGGCAAATATAGTTCTACTACACAAGAACACCCAAGTTAAACATTTACATCACAGCTGTAAGTCTGTAACATATCATTTATTTGTCACATTTATATTTCCGTGGCAACTGATTCAAGCAAGATAAATGGAAGGATACTAATAGATTCAAGGTAACACAATATGTAAATAATAAAATAAAACTCTTGAAAATGTGATTTATCAGACATTATTTTAAGATAAAAATAAATGGAAGAGCTTAGAAAGGAAATCTTATACAAAAATTCTCATAATTGAATAAATCAACAAGAAAGGGTGAGCTTTAGCAAAAAGTTCATCTTCATATAGAAACATTATAAGCATGCCTATTATTAAAGCACATCATACTCACAATGGAACATTGTAACCAATTTGCCTATGAAATAAAAATCAAGAATAGTGCCAGCCCTGCCAGGGATGAAGAGTAATTTAAAAACTAAAAAATGGAAAGGATGTGGAAATAAGAGACAACTAATAAATCATATGCTGGAACAATATGGTCTGGTAACAAAAATCCACTGACAACGCCCAAAATTAACCAATCTTGTAATTCAAAAGATAAAAATCACAAATCACCTGAACTACTTCATCAGCAGAAGATGCACATTGAGGGAGTTTGTCCCTGGGAAGAACTCGAATCTGAGCACCACTTTCAGCAGACATCTGCTTAATGATAGAGCCACCCTTTCCTAAAAGGCATCCCACCTGACTGGAAAGCACAAGTAACCTCAGAGTGACTGTACCAGATCCATTGCTTTCTTCATTAGTGTATTTTGTCTCCCACTCCCCTTCAAAAAAAAATTTAAACAAAAGTAACAAAGCATTCTGCACAGATGAAGTTCCCTTCTTGGACAATAGATCATCAACATTTGTAGGAGTTTCCTTGTCAGCATCGTTTACATTGTGATCTTCAGAACTGCCTTGCTCTTTGGATGACTTAGAGTCCTCATTGTCAATCTTTTTATGTTGGTTGCTGCTCTCATCTTCCTTATCGAGACCCATTATAAAGATTACCCTCTCATCACATCCAGAAACGGAGTCATCAATTCTGACTTTAGCACCAGTTTCTTGGCGTATTTGTGATATGATATTGCTCTTCTTTTCAATTACGCTTTCAATTCTAGAAGATGGGCAAAGAACACGGAGAATGGCACCTCCAGATGACGTCTTCCTAGGCTGTTTTGGTGAGTTAAGACTTGCCGACTTTTGGAACTTTTTCCCATTTGAGTTCTCATGGTTTCGACTATGCAGTCTCTTTGCAGGTGTTAAAGAAAGAGACATGTTGAGATTAATGTCCCAAAGTCAGCACTAATCTGCATGGAATGCAGCAATATAAAAATTCCTACGGAGGTGAGTTCAACTTACAAGAATGAGCTTTGGTAGCAACTTAAACTATTAGGTAGCAATTTAAGCCTTGTTATGCACTCAGTAGTTAGATAGAGATAAAAGAAACTGAATAGCTTTAGCCTATAGCAGGCTAGCAGCTAGCAAATAGCTTGTCTGTTAACAAGGTAAATTTGACTAACTAACAACATAAAATGTGTTTGGTAAGTCAAATATAGACATGGTTGGTGTGGATAATTCATAGCATTCAATACTAGCATATTTGACCATGAGTTGTATGCCTATGAAAATACATACGGGATCGAACCATTTCATAATAATTCTTGAAAGGAGCAATTTGTTGAACATTTGTATTAGAATTTTAACAAGTGCATGTTTTCAATTGTGAGTGAAAAATTGAAAAAGAAGTCCACAACAAAGAGAATGAGAAATTACAAAGGGGGGCAAGAATTCAAGAAGTCTAATACTCCACATGACCGAAAAAGAAATAAAAAAACTCCAACTCGAATTTCAATACTCCAATCTCGAATTTCAATAGAGAAAAAGACATGCGCCTAAAGAGAAGCTAAAAATACCGCTCGATCCCATGAAGAAACCAAAGAAGCCTTTGAAACACAGAAAAAGATAATATTCCTTTGCAACCAAAGTACCCATAACCACCAAAAAAGCAGACCTTTTTGCCCCCCAAATTTCACATGTAAACTACCAAAAACCAATAGTGGACAAACCACTTATTTCCTACCCAACTAAGTAGTTTTTGCAACAGAATTGTGGCTGTAGGACAATACAATAACAAATGATTCTTTAACTCTTCATTGGAAGACATAAAAAGCACAAAATATGAGATAAGGCCTTGATTGGTCTTTGAATAAATGCAAGACAATGATTTACTTGCTATAGAACAAGTCCTTCCAAATTCAAGTAGAATGAGTAAAGTTTGAGAATTATGATTTTTTCTTTTTTTTTCATAGGTGATGATTAAAGAAAGGCCAACTTAAGGACCCCAAGCCAGCCACACTCTCCTATCATGATTCCTCAAAATCCCTTTGATTTTATGCATGAAACTGTTATATATAAGTTAAGAATAATTGGATCAGCTAAATGAGAAATTAAAAATAAAAAAACGTACTAACCCACCATCTTTTCCTAGGACTTGTGACAAAATTGAAATTCTGCATAGCATTAACTTCCATATGCCTCCTTCTGCACCCCCCCCCCCACCGCTCTTCCCCGCCTCAAATTACATGCATACATATACACCTTGACAAGCAATTATTTACAACTCATTCAATATTCTTATGGTTTAAACAAAAGACACAAGCTTGCTTTACCATTATGAATCTACAAAGCAGCTTAAGAGTTCATATGTTCATAACTTCATGTATCTCAACATTTTATCTAACACTCATCCTATTTTTGCCTCCCTTTTCCTCTCTTCCCCCATTTACTTTCATTTTACCAACACATCAACATTACTCCAATGCCTCAAAAAAGCATCCGCCGGGGGCAGCAGTTGGTTAAGAGGGGTCTAATGAATCAGGATTCAACCTTGAAATATCAAACACGTTGTCTTCAATTGACCCTTGATTCGAAACACAAAGTCTGCTGCTTGTTCTCCCAATTTCTATATTAGACTACAACATTACACTAATTTCAATTGAATTCTAAAACCCATGAAAGATAACACCCATAAATTCAATACTAAATTCTGCAAAGTTCTACATAAACATATTCAAGCATATGAAAATGCATAAGCCCAGAAAGGTTTGTCCTTTATAAACCGTATGGTGAAATAATAATGAAATTTCAGAGACTGAACCCTAAAAAAACCAAATTCATAAAGATTTAATTAAAATTTACAAAACCCTAATAAAAGAGAAGCAAATAGATCAGGTTACCTCGTAGAAGAGCAGCAAATATTATTGTGAATTACCTTGTTGTTCTTCTGTTGGTGTTTCTTTTTCTGTGTTCTAATTTATTAAAAGCTCAGTAGTCTGAGAAAATTAAACCGGCACAGCCGCTATAAGAAAATGATGGTGTTCCAGGTTCACAGTTGAATCGCACACCGCGCTCTATTTTACTTGTCATTTTAATGATGATTCTTCCCATTTTATAATTTATTTATTTTATTTTTTTTTACCCTTTTTTAATAGCGTTTTTTTTTGCTGACACGCACTAAAATGCAGACCGGATAACCCTCGATCGATCGAGTAACCCTAATCGATTGAGTAACCCCTGATTGGTTGAATAATCTCTGATCAGGTAACCCTTGACTCATTAAACCCTAATCGATCGAGTAACCCCGGTCGTACCGTTTGGCGAGCCACATAGGAAGATTTTTGCTTTTTTAATCTTACCCTTTGACCGTTAAATAATTTTGGATGATTTTAGATAATTTAATTCAATTGACTTTGATATAATACTGCCTTAGTCCCAGAATCACTGATATGTTGGACTTTTTTCACTATTCATATATTAAACTTTGATAATAATTTTTCATTAACATAGTGACAACATATGTATTTATCATAAAATATGTTATTAGATAGGTGTTGATAATAAAAAATTCTTTGTTATCTCTTCTCTCTCTTCAAACCTAGCCACCATAGTAAAACTTAAGGGCTGCCATCGATTTTATCGATGGTAAGCCCCGAATTCCTCTTCAATTTGATGTTTTTAGCCAATAAAGATCACCAACAGTATGGTGATTATAGTCAATCCCTCCATATAGGGTTTAGTCGGTTCTCTAATGGTGTGATTTTTAGTATTGTTTATTTGTTTGTTTATTTTTCATGTGTGCAGGGATACAAATTTGGAAGATTTGTCTTGCAAATTTGTGGAATTGTGAATCTGTTGGTTTAGGGGTGCAGATTTAGAAGATTCATCTTACAAATTTGCCGATCTTGATGACCAATGTAACACTCCCAAATCTCCCTCTACGGAAATACCGTAGAGCTAGACTTAGGCGCATTACCGCCGCATGATTACACAAGGTTACTCAAACTTTCTAATTAAAAACCACAACTTCACAGCGGAAACTCAAACTCTTTCTTTATAATGAAAATAGTAACCAATGTTATGAGTACTCAAAATAGAAACAAAGACCAACATTCCTAGATTTAGGTGAAGCATATCCCAGGACTTCCATATGCTCAATTATTGACTACACCTGAAAATAGTCAACACTGCTTACACAGGTTGAACCAAAACAAATAGGAAATACGGATTAGCAAAATATGCTAAGTACGATAAGTGCAAGATAAATAAACTCAATTTATTTGCAAACATGCTTTTAAAATCAATTCTAATAATTAACCCAATAATCCAAACTCATTACTCAAAACCAATTCCAATAATTCAATATTTCAATAAAATAAATAATAAACCAATTCCTCTTTTAAAATCCAATTCCTCACCCGAGTGTGCACACCCCCAAGCTAGTCTTCTTATATTGCAAGACTATTCTTGAGGAAAGACTCGGTCATATAAAGCCCAAAGTCTTATCAACCAAATCCGCATAATGGGATTACTATCAACATGCTTGTAAAGATTTAATAATAATAATTCAATAATTCCAATCATTATAATAACAGCTCAACACTCCTTTTTATTTAATTCAACAAACTTTCAAAATTAAACCTGTTTAAAACATGACAAATAATTTAATTATTCGAAACATGATATAAAATCAATCCTTCAATTTATTCATTAAAACCAATTCTTTAAACATACTTTTATTTCATAAATCATAATTCAATTCAATTTAATTCATTCATCATAAAAATCATACAAAACATGCATATTCAATCCAATCAATTTCAAAGGTATCTAGCCACCTAAACGTACCTTTAATCCTTGCTTTCAACACAAAAAGGAACTTCAATCACTCTTGTCAAACACACCCTACAAATAAATATAACCTTAATCAATATAAGTTAACAAATAATCACAACAATTAAAATAAAACCCCCACCTATATGTACATGAACCTAATAAATTATTTCTCATAAACTTGACTAATAAACTGATTTTATTTAATTAAAAATACTCATTATAATTTTTATAAAACCCCATAATAATAATATAATTAATTAAGAGAAGAGAAGAAGAAGAGGTTGAAAACCAAGGAAAAGAGGAAGAAAGGTGGCGGCAAGGAGGGGCAGCAGCCGGCGACAGGTGGCTGCCGAGGTGGTGGGGGAGGGTGGCAGCCGGCGTGGAGGTGGTGATTGGTGGTGGTGGTCGTGCAAGAGAAAGAGAGGAGAGAATTAGAGAGATTAAGAGAGAAATTAGAGAATTTGGTGTGAGCGTTTAGCTATGATTCAAGGGGTATTTATAGGCTAGCCCATGCAAGAATTTTGGTAGGAGAATGTAGGAAGAATTATGGTAAAAAGAATTAAGGAAACTACTTGGAGAAAAGAGCTAAAGAATTATGGAAAGTTTAATATTAAGGTGACTAAGGAATAATTAATTTATGGAAAGTATGTTGTCATGAAAAAAAAAATGGCAAATGGCTTTGCTTGGGGAATAATCAAGGATGATATAAGGTAGGGAAATAAGATTATCAAATATATAGGAGATGGGAAATAAGAATTAAGGAAAAATAATAGATTTAAGGAAGATAATTAAAAATAAAAATTACCAAAATAAATTACCCAAAAATCAACCAAGATGGCTGAAAATTTTGAGCTTCCATAGCTCAAATTTTCGGACCTCTTTAGTAGAATTTAGGAAGTAATTTTGCTAGATTTTAAGGATTAAAAATGATTATGTAAATAATATATATTGTATAAAATAATTAATTAAGAGAATACCAATTATTCACTAAATAAATTAACTAAGAAAATGAGATTTCCCACACTAGGAAAATCCGAAATTAATAGCCAATCATTAGGAATTTTCAAACCTCCTAATAAATAATAAATATATTTTTTTTGCTTAATTAAGATATCCGAAATATATATAAATAATCCGGTTTTTAAAATAAAATAAATGGATAATAAATCTTATCTAAAATCCAAAAATAATACTTTTGGCGTCAAAATTCAAATATCATTGGCTCCAAAATTCAAATTGTAAAATAAATTACTAAAATACCCTTTTTAGAAAATACGTTTAAAAAAAATGGGGTATTACAACCAATCAAGTTTTATCACTTTTGCGACTATACATCAATGAAACTCTGTCAAGAACGATGCAAAGACATCTAAAATCATTCAAGAACAGTTCAGAAGCGATGCCATTAGTTTAGAGGTGTTAGATACTTATATTGAGAATTTCGATTTCTTAAAAGGATGATTATAAGTGCTGAATGACTATTATTATTTAATAAAATCACCCCTCTTTATTGCATTAAAAAAAAACATAGGTATTATTAATGGGATTTGTTAAACATCGCCCGCGTTTTTCTACATAAAGCCCACATTTTTTAAAAATGTTGACATTATTGCCCTTGTTTTAATTTTTACCGAAAATAAAATTTTTCACTCATAAAAAATGTGGAGCAGGACTGGATCGCCGAGTGAAACCGAAGAGCCCTCAACGTCGGGTAGATGCACCGGAGAGACGCCGTTGACGCCGGAAAAGGAGGTACGAAGCCATCTAAAACCACGAATTGGCGGCTGGCGTCCTGCCGGGACGCCGTGACCGTAGTGGTGGCGCCTAGCCAGGACGCCGCCACCGTAACTCTGGCGCCTGGCCAGGACGCCGCCACCGTGGCCTTGGCGTCTGGCCAAGACGCCGCCACTATTTTTTTTTTTTTTTTTTAATTTAATTTAAAATTTGTTTATTTTTTTTTTTTTTGTGTTACAATTTTTTTCTTTTTTTTTTGTTTTTTTTTTTGTTTTGTTTTTAATTGTTTTAATTTGTTTTTGTTTTTAATTTATTTATTTTTTATTTTTTTTTTACAATTTTTTTCGTTTTATGTTTTTTTTTTGTTTTTTTTTTTTGGTTTATTTTTATTTATTTAATCTAAAGTTTTGTTTATGTTTTTTATTTTTGTGTTTTGTTTTTTTTTTTTTTTTTGAATACTTTTTGTTTATTTCTTTGTTTGTTGTTTATAATTTATTATTGTTTTTGCTTTTGTGCTAATGTTGTGTCAAATGTATTAATTTAATCTACTCTTATGTGATTATATTTATATGTTATTGTTGCAGGATTATGGTGGAGACGGAAATGATTATAGTGGGATTTTTGTACACGATGGTCTGTTCGAAGATGCTCAACAAGCGGTTGATTGGGCGAAACAGGTTGCAATTAGATCAGGTTTTTGTTTAGTAGTAGCAACTCATAAATCTCAACGGGATGGTAGAATGGATCGCATTTTGAGATGCGACCGTTATCGCAAAAGGGAGGAACGAGATTTCAGTCAAGCGATTCGGTTTGATACAAAGCGGAAAGGTTGTGGGTGTCAGTTCAGAGTAAAGGTTCAGCCATCGGCCATCGTCAGCGATTGTGAGGGAGGTCTCTTTGCCCCTATAGCGGAGCTGTTTCCGGAGTCGAGCCATTTACTGTGCACATGGCACATCAACAAATGCGTGAAAGTCAAAGCCTACAACCTTTTCAACAAGAACTTAGATTCAGCAGAGAGATTGGTAAATGGTAAGTGGCGGAAGATCCTGCAAGCTACCACGGAGGCAGAGTACGACCGAGCCTTGGATAACTTCAAGGATGCATACCAATGGTGCCCGGCAATCGTAGACTATGTGATGCAGCAGTGGGTGCCTCAGAGGGAAAAGTTTGTCAAATATTGGACAAACCAAGTTCTTCATTTTGGAAACACTACTACATGTAGAGTTGAGAGCGCTCATAGAGCTCTGAAGGACTGGATTGATTCTTCCACCTCTGCTCTGGATACACTGTTCGAGAGAATAAACAAGGCTATTGATACTCAGAGGAACGGCATCAAGAACTCTCTCGAGGACTCCAGACGGCGACATGGCACGATGTATAGCCATTTCATATTTAAGATTCTCCATGGTCGTGTGTCACACTACTGCTTGGGGTTGATTCTGAGCGAGCACACCAGGATGAGGGAGTTGGGTGATGAAGTGGCTATTCGGTGCGGATGTGCTATATCGGTGACTCATGGACTACCTTGTGCATGCACCATTCACCGCGTAATTACGCAAGATAGGGCGTCGTTACATGTTGATCAGGTTCATCCATTCTGGCGGACGCTCGTTATCGGAGAGCATGCTGTTCCACAGACAGTCAACCGTGAACAGGAGGAGTTGGAGCAGTTTCGTTCGATGTTTGACCAAGTGTCCTCCAGCCACCCTTCAGTCATTCGTAGTGCTACCCACGTACTTCATGACATGTTCAACTCGTCGTGCTTGGATCATGAGGAACCTGAGGGGGTCGAGCGACCACGGGGCCGACAACCACGGCGGGAAAGGAGTGCGTTTGAGTACATTCGTGGTCGTGGTCGTGGTCGTGGCCGTGGTCGTACATCGTCATCAAGTGGTAGTCAAACATCTTCGTCGGTGAATATGCCCGGCACCGGTACGGTACTTTAGTTTAATTTACTTTTTAGAGTGTTTGTTTAGTTTTCTGCTAACTTGTTAATTGTGTTTTTTGATGTGTGCAACAGGCAGAATGGACATTGAACATTTTCCATATAAAGACAGGATCCCTAACATCATGATGCCGTTCCTGGACGGGTGGAATGATGTCCTCCCAAATACGGGTAGCGATGTGTCCTAGAAAGCTAGGAATCACACTCCCGTCTATAGGTCCCCCAGCCACCTCGCCCCTCACCACCCAAGAATCATTAACGGCCCTCGACCGTTTTCTGCTAACCGCAGACACAGTGGACGCAGATGATGTGCCAGATCTACTAACAAATCTACCATCTCTACCCTTACGCACGTCTACCCTACGCGTCTCATACACATCATCAAGCCTCTGACTGAATGGACCGTAATCATCATATGGTCCACTCTGATCGTCCACATCCTCATCTGCATCCTCCTCCTCCTCCTCCTCATCACCATCATCATCTTCATCATCCTCAGAATAGTGCACCCGTTCTCTACGAGCCGAGGCCGAAATACCACGGGATCTAACGTGTCTGGGCCCCGAGCTCTCCATTGAGTTCATCGTACTTCTCATAATGTCCATACTCTTCCCAGCCCCAGAACGAAAATACGATGCCTAACACAAAATAACAAAACATGTAATATGCAATATAAACATGTAATATAAACATAAAAAAAGTAATTAAAATAAATAAATAAAACAATATACATATGATGGAAAATAAATTAAAAACATTACAAAATATTAACAACCTAAAAATAAAAAAATTAATAACCTAATAAATAAATAAATAAAAAATTGGAAAAAACAAAGCAAAAAAAAAAATTACCCAAAAAAAACAAATTGGAAAAAACAAAGTGAAAAATATAAAATTATAAAAACTTAAAAAAAGAAGAACATCAAAATTTTAAAAAAAATTTATAACAAAAAAAAGGGAACATAAAATTTTTTTTAAGTAAAAAAACTAATTCAAAAAAAAAAAAAACAAGAACAATAAACAAGAACATAAAATTAAAAATTAAAAAAAAAAAAAGAGGAACATAAAATTTTTTTAAAAAAAAACCAACAAAATTTAAAACAAAATAAAAAAAAAATCAGAAACATAAAATTTAAAATTAAAAAAAAGAAAAACAAATTTAAAAAAAAATCAAAAAAAAAATAATTATTTTCGAAAATTAAATTTCAAATTTAAAACCAAAAAAAAATTAAAAAAAAAAATAAAAAGGCGGCGGCGCCTAGGCCAGACGCCGTGACGGTGGCGGCGGCGTCTAGCCCAGACGCCACTACCACGGCGGCGGCGCCTAGGCCAGACGTCGGTGCCGTGGTTCTGGCGCCTGGGCCAGACGCCACCGCCACCGTCACGGCGTCTGGCCTAGGCGCCGCCGCCGTGGTTGTGGCGTCTGGGCTAGACGCCGCCGCCGTGGTGGTGGCGTCTGGCCTAGGCGCCGCCACCGCCTCCGACCTTTTTTTTTTTAATTTTTAAACACAAAATTAATAAAAAATACCTTCTCGCCGGAAAACCGCTGTCCACCCGCCGCCTGTGCCGCCACTTCCTTGCCGGGCCGCCTCGACATCGCTCGGAAAGTTTTTTAGAGAGAGAAAGTGGAAGTAGAGAATTGAGAGAAGAAATTGTGTTTTTTACTTTGAGGGCAAAAGTGACAATTCACTCTAATTTTGTGGGCTTTATGTGGAGATTCGCGGGCGATGTTTAGCAATTGAGTTATTAATAAGTTTCATAATATTAAAATTTTCATTAATACTAGATGAAACTGTGCGATGCCCGATTTGTATCCCCCAATCCCAACATGTGAGTAGTTCAACTACTGTTCATTTCTGTTACTGTAGCTTAGTAACAGAGCATTTCCTTCCCTACCGTTGCTCCAAACAAACTCTTCTTCGTCACGTTTTTTCCTCATTCTCAGTGTGCTTTCATGGATATTCCCTTACATCTCCTTCATTTTCTCTCTCGACGGTTCTGCACCAGTTACGGCGATGGATTACAATTATAATATCGCAATTCTCTTTAAATCTTAGCCATCTTGAAGCTCTTGTTGATCATGCTCAATTCTCAAGGTCTGTAAACCCTAACGCTAACTATCAAAGTACTCAGTTCTTTCATGATTTTGTCCTTATGCACCACTTACGGCGACGGATTCTCAATTCAAATGTTGCAATTTTTTTGTGGGTTGAATCGATGGGCAATTTGTTTGGTTGCTCCGCCTCTGGTGAGCGGCTGGTGTCGGCAACGAGAGACGAAGGGTCATGGAGTGGGTATTTTTTTTTTTTTTTTTTTTTTTTTTTTTAATATTTTATTCCACATAAAAAGCATTAGATCGATGTTCAGATATCTTTTTGGTTGGTTGATTCCCATTTCCAATTGAATAGGAGAGTAGAAATTGAAAAAAAAAGTGGCATGTGTACGTGATTATAGCTTTGAAGATTCAGATTTGCTCAACTATTTAGCAGGTAACTCCTTTATCTAATTTCGTCTCTTTCTCTCTCCTCACCAACCTTCATTCACTCAAATCCTAAGCTTTCATTCATCATGTCAGCAGGTAACATCTTATGATTTTGATGTAATTTTCATATCATACATTATTTCTATAATGGGTAATGATTTTTCTGCATAACTATGCATTACAATGAAGAATTACATTAAATTTCATCTGGGTTTCTCTAAACTGCAGTCTTTGATTCAATTTGTTCAACTTCAATGATATATCCCCTGTTTTAATATTTTTTTTTTTCTGGGTTTTTTTTCAATAAATTGTAGAGGGTGGTGATGAATTGGCGAATCCTAAGCCGTCGCCATATGAGGAGGCAATGAGTGCGCTGTCGTCTTTGATTACTACTCGAACTCGTGCTGAGAAGAGCAATAGCGGTGATCACTTTGAGTTGCTGTTTGATTATATTAAGGTTATATTTCTGTTATTATGCTAATTTTCATATCATTTTATCTTAAATTAGTTGATTATATGATTATATTAAGGTTATAGTTTTGTTATTATGTCTGATTTACATTATTTTTTGTCTCAAAATTAACTGTTTTTTCTTGGGATTATTAGGGTAATAATGTAAATTGTGTTTGGGTGAGATTTTGTAGATATTGGAGGTGGAAGAACCAATTTCTAAGTTGAAGGTTATTCATGTGGCTGGCACCAAAGGTAAGGTATTTGTCTTCAATCCTTTTATGTTAATTAGATGATGAATCTGTTAAATGTATATGTACATGTCATACACTCATACAAAAACATATCTCCGTGTCATATGGAAATGTTGCAATTAATTTGAAACCAACGGAGTATTTCTGAAGTGCTGAATTAGGAAGCGGAATAACATGAGGCTAAATATTATTATTTCATTGTGTTGAGTTAATCGGTATCTCATTTGATGGTGCATCAATGTGTAAACAAATACTACGTAAATAAAAAAATACAAGTAAAAACAAAGGTCCACAATGACAACTCAACAAAATGTATTTCATGAAACACCGATTAAGAATGAAGAAAATTTTACCTAAATTTTAGTGAAGAAAATTTGATGGGGTTGTTACAGTTCAAAATATTATTATTTTTTGTTGTTCTTGACATATTTGCTGAATTGGGGTTTTAGTTGTGAATTTGGTATGGTGTGTGGTGGATTATGTATTTTGTTGATTGAGTAGAGGTGATCATTGGGCGGGGCGGGGCGGGGCACAATTTGTTTATGGTAATGTTATACTGCTATATGAATGAGCAGTATGGTAGATTGCTGCCCTTATTGATTATGTGGAAAAATATTGTACTAATGGGAGGACTACTTGCTGTATGCAGTTTACATGTGCAATTGATGACTTGAAAGCCGGTTTACGGAGACGGGGTCCTGATAGTTTGGGGACCAAAAAGTTTATCCTTGAAGTGAAGGATGCAGAAGTACATTCTTATGTTGCCAGGGATGAGGAAACTGAAAGGGAAAACTCTTGTTTGCACGCTATGTATGCGTGATTGTAAACCTTTTTGTGATGGAGAGAGTGGAATTGGAATGCATCAGTCTGTTGCAGAGATGTACTTTGTTGGTGCAGTATTACAGTTGAGGGGAACAAAGCCAGTTATGCAGCCGTTAGTCAGTGCGACTGGGAATGTCCTCATTTATAATGGTAATTTCAATTTTATGTATATTTGTTGTAGATTGAAAAGGCCCGAGCAATGATAGACAAAAGCTTTATTAGTGTAGACCAGTGAACATCCATGATTAAGCTTTCGAGAGGCTTGTTCTCTCCCTAACCAGCATTTGAGAGTTTGGAGCTCACTACTTTTTAGCAATATTCAGTATGCCTTTTCCCAATGGCTACTCGCCCTTATCTATACTAATCTGATGACTAATAAGTAATAACAGAATAATATTAGACTACCCATAATGCTCCTCCTTTAGGTCTGTTCAATACATCAATCTACATAATTTCTACTCCAAAATAATGCATTCCCAGGCAATATCTAGCGTTTATGATCATGTGTAGTTCATGTGGCAGCATAGGATTATCTTCCTCTGCATAAATTGTACTTTATGTGATTAGTCTAAGTTTCTTGGTAGTAATAAGAAGTATTTATTACTCTCTGCATTAATTTTATTGGTTAATTCCAGTGTGTGTACATGTGGGCTTCAAACAATATCTGAGGATTATGAGCTTTCTGATTTTTGTAGGATTTTTGCTACTTTGTATTTTGATTGAACACAATCAATGCTCACGGGGCATTAAAATAAATATTTTGTTCCGAATGTGTTTTTTTTCTTCCTAAAATTAGGTGGGGGATTGGAAGTATGAGTTTGGCTTCATGTTAGCTGACATTTTGAAGCAAAATTAAGTAAATAATTCAGACATGAGATTTGATCCCGGGGCAAGGACAGCTAATTCTGATAGGTTTATAGCTGATTATGAGAATGATCATAATTCCTATTGTTAGTCTGCTTTGTTAAATTTCAGAGCAAAAGAGGAGGAGATTGAGGAGGAGGCTCTTTAGCGAGTTCAAGCCCAAAGAGTGCTAAAAACTTAAAAGAGTTCAGGCTCTTTACCCTCTTATGGAATGTGCTGCAGAACATCAACCTCAGAATGTGCAGCCTCACTGTTCAAAATGGGTTAAGTTCTATCTTTAAGAGTTCATCTTCTGAAGAAAATCCTGAAATTAAGGTTTCATCTGCTCTGCTCCCATTTTACAGGGTGGATTATTTGTCCTATTGTCCAAATTAGATGATGGCGATGACATAGATCTCTTTGATGGTGAGACTGAGGAAGAGCAGAAAGCTGCTGAAGAGAGAGAGGCAGCTAAGAAGGCATTTGGAAAGAAGAAAGAAAGTAAGATTTCTCTTTTGAATTGTGCTTAGTCGAGTTTGTTGCTTGTAGGTGGAATTTGTTTGTCAAAATTTTATTCTGAAACTTGTGTGATCGCAATTTCGATTTAGTCTAATTGCTGAAGAGAGGAATCATGTGAAAGTCTATCATTGCTAAATTTTTTATCATTACACCTGGATAATAAGTGTTATACATGAACTAATGCTAAGCTTTTTCAGAGACTTTTATCCTACACCAGAAGAACTATAGCCCTCTTTCCCTTTGGAGATGGGAAAATTGGTTAATTTATTATCATATATACTTGGCAATTATCTCAGATAATGTTTCATAATACGGATGTGGGTGGTAAAACTTTTAATCTGAAAATACAGTGATCATATATCAATTGAATCTAATTGCGGAGAAATTATGTGTCTTTTATCTTTGTCTGTCAAGCGTTAAATTTCGAGTGTCACACTTGTACACTGGATCTTATAAAGAATATAAACCACAAATTGTACACTAGATAATTGGTCCTATAAACCACAAATTGTACATCTTGATAATGGGTCCTATAATGGCTGCAAAGCATGATTACATCCCTTCCTCTACTCCCTCATAACTAATGGGAGTAGTTGGTTTGAATTTCATTAGTTAGATTGTTGTTTTTCTTTGCTCATACTGATGTCATCTCCATGTCTGACATATTTTAGCGTAATTTTTTGTTCAATATGAATGTGGGAGTAGTATCATCTAATTTAAGTGGGTTGTCCAGCTTTAGATTGGTTTCCATTATGGGCTATTCTTGTAGTTCTTAATATTACTTCTAATCACAAGCTAATGTAGTATAGAACTTTGTATTATTCATACAATTTAACACTATAAAACAAACAACGGTATTTTAGTTTAGTATATAGTGGGTTTTTTTCTGTCAAAAGTGTAATAAATCCACATACTTATTAAGATATCTGTAGGTAATTTTACAGATTTTCTTTAGTTTTTTATTTTTTTTTTATTTTTTTTTAATATTCTTATATGCTGAATTCCTTTATAAAGGATGTCAAGTTATCTATTTCTATGCATGGTTTCTTAGGCTTTTGACAAGTTTTCATTTTGAACAAAGAAAGTTGAAAAAAAGAGTCTGAATCTCCACGAGTAGGAGAAAAGTGTGAATCATATTGTACAAATATATGCCCTATATTTTAGCTTTACCAATGATTTGCTAGGTTTTACCGTGTTAACCACTGAATTTGATAAGCTTTTATTGCTGATTACAAGACCTTATCTTTGCTCTGCTTTGTCAAATTTCAGGGCGAAAAAGGAGGAAATTGAGAAGAATAAATGGAGGGTTGTGACTTGTGAGCAAGCTGAAGCTCAACTAGGCCAAGTCAAGGAGGAGACTAAACGTTTTGCTTTGATTCTTAAGGTTTTTCTTTCTCCTCTTTCTAATTTTTCCTAGCTGAAATTTTATAGTATTTAGAATTTGTGCTTGTCCCTTTTAATGAACAAAATGAAAGCAGATATTCTTTATTTTGGATTTAATTTCTTTAATTTCTATGTTCATTATGTCTGATTGTATAGCAAAAGGATGGGAACTTCTGATTTAACTCACTGAAATTTTATAGCATTGAGAATATGTGAATAAGGGGTTATATTCATTTACACCTTCTCCATTGGAAAGTTTACGGAGGCTTCTTAATCTACTCTCTGTCTTAGGCTATTCATCTTTGTTTAAGTTTAAGGCTATTCAAATTGATATACTAGGACTTTGTCTGGTCTTGTAGAGCAACAAATAATAGCATAAGTTCTATTTGGGGCACTTTGTAAGATTTGTTACTGTTTTCTTAATTTCTATACTCCATTATATAATGTTGTGGGCTATGTAGCCTCTTATATATTATGTGAGTATTTCGGTTTATTTATGAGGAAAATTCATTCATTTGTTTTATTAATCATTCCTATGTATGTTCATATTGATACGTGTATATTAACATGGAAGTAGGAAAGACAAATTTCATCCTCACTTAAATTTATTTCGGGTTTCTCATGATCCCTCTACATCGAATAATTCTCAATTATAAAAGGATAAGGAGTGCCCAAAGGTTTTCTATTAAAGGGTTTAGCTTTATGCCCTAAATTTTAACTATCCAGTTCAAAGGTTGTCGTTAATTTCTCAATTGAGGGCTAAAAATTGGGGTGTTGTTGTTTGGGGATTTCTGATAAATGTTACATGTGATACCTTGCAAAGATTGATGTTAAAGTTGTGCATTTGTTGTGTGATTGATTTAGTTCATCATTAGATAAACAAGGTAGCTAATTATGAATGACTAATTTTGATTGAAGATTGGTTTTAGCTTTAAATTAGTGTTATACTTCTTGATCCCTGTTTGTAATCTTGGAGTATTGAAATTGGTGTTGTCGCTTTAATGTTGAACTCTGAATTATTTTCTTTGTTAAACCATAACCAGAAACTATAAGACGACGAGTGGAGTGAAAAAAAAGAGTTTGAGAGAAAGATCTGGGGAGATAGCAGTGAGTTTTAGGGAAGAGGGGAGGAAGGGAAAGTGGTACAGTGAAGGAGGGAGCAAATAGGAAGGGATTACTAAAATTACAATAACCAGAAAATATGAGTGGGGAAAGAGAAAGGGAGTGAGAAAACAAGGGTCAAGATAAAAAGATAGATTGATGGATATCATGTAGAAAGTGGCCTTCTAAAATTCACGTTCCATAAAAAAATGAGTAACACAAGGAGATAGAGCCCGTAGAGGAAAAGGAAATGAGAAGGGAGGAGGACTGGGGGAGGGGGGAGTAGCAAGGAATATGATATGATTTTCTTTGTTGAACATATCATAAAAGACGGGTTGAGTGAAAAGAAGAGCTTGAAAGAGATATCTGGGGAGATAGCAGTGAATTTTAGTGAAGAAAGAGGCCTTCTAAAATTCACGATTCATAAAAAAATGAGTAACACAAGGAGAGAGAGCCCGTAGAGGAAAAGGAAATGAGAAGGGAGGAGGAGAGGGAGTAGCAAGGAATATGATATGATTTTCTTTGTTGAACATATCATAAAAGGCGCGTTGAGTGAAAAGAAGAGCTTGAAAGAGATATCTGGGGAGATAGCAGTGAATTTTTGTGAAGGGGGGAGGAAAGGAAAGTGGTACACTGAGGGAGGGAGCAAGTAGGTAGAGACTTACTAAAAATTACAAAAACCATAAAATATGAGTGAGATAAAAAAGGAGAGTGAGAAAATAAGGGCTTGGAAAGATTAATAGATAAATTGATGGATAGCAAGTAGGAAGAGCCCTTCTAAAATTCACAATCCGTAAAAATGAGTAACAAAAGGAGATAGAGCCCATAGAGGAAAAGGAAGTGAGAAGGGAGGAAGGGGGGGGGGGGTAGAGGGTCGGGGGAGGAGAGAGTAATATGATACTTTCTAGGAAATCTGGCCATCAATTCTGAACAGAAATCACGAAAGAATTTGTGTCGAAGCTATTTTCAGGTATTCTGCAATATATTGAAGCACACCTCTGCTCTCTAAATCTCTTTACATTCTTGTAGTCTCCTGCTTTGTTCACACATGTGATCATGGGATCGCCATCAACTTGGCATTTGGAATCCTAACGCATGTTGGTTAGTATGAGTTACAGTGTTGTAATTATGCTGCTATATTGGATGATACACATGTGGTTTTTGGAGAAAGAATCAGTCAACATCTAAGGACCAGAGATCTGAATGCTCTGTTTTCCAGGAATCTAAGAACTGATATAGGGGTAATAGGGTCATTAAATGTGTGATTGCTTTCTCTGTTCTTACCTCAGATTTTAATCAAAGTGTTAAAGATTTGGTATGTTTTATGGGTTGATTCTTAATTTTTATGAAGTTTGTCTTTCAGAACATGCACGTGTGAAAATTCAAATACATGTCGTATCAATTGGTGCTATTCTTTAGTGCTGTGGTGCTACTTCCTGTTGGGTAAGACTTTTCACTACAATCAGGTAATTATGTCCACTATTCAAATGATTTACTTGGTATGCTCTGTAACTTGGACTCGAGAACTCAGATTAACTAAACATTGAAAACCCATCACACTGCTTAGTTGGTTATGTTACTTTGAATTGAAAAGTAATTGTCTGATCACTGGTGTTGGACTAATCAATGTGAGTTGTTCTGCTATTGCATAAGAGGGGTAAAGAATGGTTGCGACTGTTGGTAACTTAATTCATAGATCAAGTTCTTGGCCACAACTTGAAGTCAATGGTGCTACCAATCGAGGACAAGGACTTAATATTATTTGTATAGCTTTGCTTTTTATATCGAGTAACCTATTATGGTGCTAATGTTGTAATTTGTCTTGATTTGTATACATTGCCTCTATTAAGGACTTAAGGTATGTTGTAAAGATAAGATTTGAAATGGATGGATTTGTTTAATGTGAAATTATATGCGTACTATTTTTGGACTATAATTCAAATTTTAGCAATCAAAATTCGTACTATATTGCATACCTATTTAGAGGGTTCAGATTTAGAAGGTTGGTTTCTAATGTAGAGTATATAATAGTGTATATAATTTTTTATACTCTACGTATTTTTTTGATCAATTTTCGGAGCTGATTTCTTATTATTAACAATTATTACACCATCCTATTAATGTCACCTCAAATTGAAACGTTGAATATTTTTGTTGGTTAGTATGAGTTACGGTGTATTAATTATGCTGCTATATTGGATGATACTCATGTGGTTTTCGGAGAAAGAATCAGTCAAAATCTAAGGACCGGAGATCTTCAAGCTCTGTTTTCCAGGAATTTAAGAAATGATAACAGGGGTAAAAGGGTCATTAAATGTGGGATTGCTTTCTCTGTTCTTACCTCATATTTTAATCAAAGTGTTAAAGAATTGGTATGTTTTCTGGGTTGATTCTTGATTTTTAAGAAGTTTGTCTTTCTGTTTGAATGTGTATGGTTTTGTTTGATATCAATATTTATAATTGTAAAAATGGGTTATATTTTATGGTACACAAATTGAGCCAGATTTTTTTGGAAGTCCAAGAGCAGACCCCAAAGATGTAGATGCAATTATACTAGGTGGAGGTGCTAGGGCTCACCTCTTACTGGCAGGAAAGTAAGCCAACAGTATGATCTTGTAGAAAGTTTTAAACTTTGCTTATATCTGATCTTTTGTTACCATGGTTATAGTGCTCAATTAAAATGTAAAAAATTTAGTAGTATGATGTTGTAGAAAGTTTGAAACTTTTTATAATATTCAAGTAAAATGTTATATGAATGTTCAAAACCCTCATCAAAATAAACATGTAAATTGGTAATGTGCGAGTATATTTGAATTGGTGGACTTAAGTTGGTGAAATGGTATACAATCTCTTTTAACTTGTGAATTTTGATGATTTTGCACTGGTTCTGTTGTTAGTTTTAGATATTAGGTTATATTGATAGGTTTTTAAGCTCTATTGTTATTTAAAAATTGAAATTTGATGAATTGTTTGGTGTTGAATGTTGTGGGTAGTTGAAATTTTATGGATTTGGAATTGATTAGGGTTAGGATCTAATGTTAGGTTGTTTCAGGTGGTGGTTGTTTTAATTATAGAATGTTAAATTGACGGGTTAGTGGGTTACTAAGTTTTTTTGTCGAGGAATTGTTGATTTTCTAGTCGAGGAGGATGGAAGAAATATTAGATGGTAGAAAAGACTGAATATTTGAGATGATAGAACAGGTTAGATTTCTGTTTCTGTGCTTTTCAGGGCACAAATTAACATGGGAAGTGATCTTGTGTGGATCTTGTATAAAATTTAGAAATATTGAATATTTGAGAGGAATAGAACGGGTTAGATTTCTGTTACATTGTGCTTTCCAGGGTACACATAAACATAGGAAGTGATCTTGGTTTGGAATATATATATATATATATATATATATATATATATATATATATATATATATATATATATATATATATATATAATCAATGATTATAAATATGACTATTATAGCTTGAAAAAATAAATTATACGTTTATATTTTCAATTTTAGCTCAAGTTTGAATTGTGTTACGGAGAATGAATTTATGGTTTGAGTCAAGTTTCATTTCAAACTACAACAAGGCTCGAGCTCGAGTTTTAATTGGAATTGAAGTGAACTTTGAATTTAAATCACTGCATATATTTAATCCCTTTTGGAAATTGTAATGTGAATATGAAAGTTAAATCTTGTTCCTTATACATGAATTATTGATATTGTAGATTTTCTACTTGGAGTAAGTACCATTTTCCTTTTGTTATGAAGTATCTATTGTGCTATGCAATTTCTTGAGATACCTAGCTGGCATGGAAAGTTTTGATATTGAATTGGATGAGGAACAATGATGATTCTTCATTTAGCCCATCATAAGAGGATTGGTTGCTAATTAAGACTCTACAAAGAACTGGAAAAACAAGGGATCAGCTTACCAGAAGGAAATAGGAAGTAGAAAAAAAATAAAAAAAGGGGAAGGACCGGTAAAGATTGTTATACAATGTACGAGTGCAATTCCTACACTCAACTTTGTGAAGGGTTGGATTACGATTGATAATCAATTTATTTATGATTTGGAGGAGACGTATGATGTAAGCATAAAGAATAGTTTAATATTGGATCTATGTATTAAGGTGTATTTAATAGAGATTTTGTAGTTATATGTGCAAGTTATTTTTGTAATAGAAATAGAAATGGTTTTATTACATAGATATGTATAAAACATAGTCTTTTTTATTTTTTCATGAATACATTGGCATTTTTTTTTATTTTTTTATTTTTTTTTGTAGTTTTAGAGAGTTTGCTTAAGGTGGAATACAAATGTTTTTTTTTTTCTTTAAAAAAAATTAGTGTTACTAAGGTGAACTAATGATGGTTTATATTTTTGTATTAAATATAAGGAGGATATAAGACAATGAGGAGGAAAGAAAGAATGAATAATCCCTCCGTTTTGTAATAGATGCAACACTAGGGGTTGCACAAAATTTTAGGAAAATTATAGGGTGGGGACCAAAATGAGAATTTTATAATATTAAGTCATTGGAGGGGATAAATTTAAGTTGTTAGTAGGAGAGATAAATAATAAAAAAGTGTGTATGTGGGGTTGATAGGAGAGAATTAATAAAATAGTAGTGGGTTTTTACCAAATAAGGAAGTGTTGCAATTATTCTGAAACGGACGTAAATAGAAAGTGTTGCGATTATTACGAAATGGAAGGAGTATAACTTTAGGAAGTGTGAGAAAAAGAGAAGGTGGAAGTGGGAGCAAATTAGAATTGAGTTTATAATATTAGCACAATACAATATTGAAAGAAAGAGCAATAAAAAAAAAATTTAAAACAATTTCAATAGGATTTTTTAAGCAGATGATATTTAACATTTTTACAAAAAATACATTATTATAGTATAGTTTATTTAATGAAACAATGTCACATGCAAATATAGTTGTAGAGAGAGAAAGAATGAGAAGCCGGTAGAAAGAGAGTGAGAGAAAAAGGGACTGGAGGAGAGGAGCCGGGAGAAGAAAGAGAGAGAGAGTAAGAGGGGCTGGGAGAACACGTGAATGAGATACAGAGAGAAAGAGAACTAGGATATATATATATATATATATATATATATATATATATATATATATAAGGGTAGGAAGAAAAGATATTGAGCAATAAAGAATAAGCGTTGCCGATACAGAGATAGAAAGAGATAGAGTGATAAAGAGAGAAATGGGTCGGGGGAAAAAGAATGAAAGGGAGATCTAAAGAAAGTAGGAGAGAGAGAGAGAGAGAGAGAGAGAGAGAGAGAGAGAGAGGCTAAGTGGAGAAGGATCAAATGCAACCTATAATTTTCAAAGTCTTTTAGAGGATGGACCAAGGACAAGTGAGATTAGGAAAAAAAAGTGTGAGAGAAAGAGTATAGGCTAATAAAAGAAGGAAAGAGTGATAAGGGAGCAAGTGCAGCCTATAATTTTCAAAGCCATTAAAAAAAGAGAGAAAAAAAAGAAAGTCAAAGAGAGAGGTTTTAGGGCAATAGAAGAAGGAAGAGGTGAGAATCATTCTAATAGAAGAAGGAGGGAAATGGAGAAAAATGTACACATTCATTAACACTCTTAGAGATACATATTTAAACCAACCAAATTAGATTTCAACGTACTCTACTTTTTAAAGTCATAAGAGTTCTTTCCTAAAGCAATACAAGAGTTCACTTTTTGGAAGAAAAACCGCTTAAGAAGAAAGATCACTGAAAAAAAGAAAGATCACTTAAGAAAATCAAGGCAATTAGCTTATGAAAACACATTTGGCTTAGGAAAAGGCTTACTAGAGAGAGAGAGAGAGAGAGAGAGAGAGAGAGAGAGAGAGAGAGACCACTA